TGTAGCTTCTACATCACAACCTTTATAGTACTCACACACTGAACACATTGCTTCTACATCACAACCTGTACTCACACACTGAACACATTGCTTCTACATCACAACCTTTATAGTACTCACACACTGAACATGTAGCTTCTACATCACAACCTTTATAGTACTCACACACTGAACACATTCCTTCTACATCACAACCTTTATAGTACTCGTACACTGAACATGTAGCTTCTACATCACAACCGTTATAGTACTCACACACTGAACACATTGCTTCTACATCACAACCTTTATAGTACTCACACACTGAACATGTAGCTTCTACATCACAACCTTTATAGTACTCACACACTGAACACATTCCTTCTACATCACAACCTTTATAGTACTCACACACTGAACACATTCCTTCTACATCCCAACCTGTACTAACACACTGAACACATTCCTTCTACATCACAACCTTTATAGTACTCGCACACTGAACATGTAGCTTCTACATCACAACCGTTATAGTACTCACACACTGAACACATTCCTTCTACATCACAACCTTTATAGTACTCACACACTGAACATGTAGCTTCTACATCACAACCTTTATAGTACTCACACACTGAACACATTGCTTCTACATCACAACCTGTATAGTACTCACACACTGAACACATTCCTTCTACATCACAACCTGTATAGTACTCACACACTGAACACATTCCTTCTACATCCCAACCTGTACTCACACACTGAACACATTCCTTCTACATCACAACTTGTATAGTACTCACACACTGAACACATTCCTTCTACATCACAACCTGTATAGTACTCACACACTGAACACATTCGTTCTACATCACAACCTGTATAGTACTCACACGCTGAACACATCCGTTCTACATCACAACATTTATAGTACTCACACACTGAACACAACATTTCACACAGAACACATTGCTTCACACACTTTATAGTACTCACACACTGAACACATTGCTTCTACATCACAACCTTTATAGTACTCACACATGTACAGTACTCACACATAGCAGTCACACAATAAACAAACTCTTTTTACATTACACATCAATTAATTCACAAGTCCTTACCCTAAGTATCGGAAAATATCTTACACAGGTGATCAATTGGTTATAGTGACGACATGGCAGACAAACAACCATAACGCCCAATTATTTATGTCGATGATCAACGGGACTGGCAGTTTTTTGACTTTTTTATGATGAAGGATACTGCATCAACAAACAATACACTGACAGATATAGAAATAATAGTGTCTATTGCTGCTTATACTGTGTATATGATTCGGTTATATAGTAGGAGTTTTATGCCCTTCAAAGTAAGTGTCACCATACAGTGGTGTTTGTCTGTTCCATCGCTGATAACATCTTTGTCTACAACTTTCTTACAAGAGGTCAAATTTTCTGACTGATCTCAATGGTTGCTGACTTTCTCCTAGAGATTCAAGTATATATAATATAAGCTCTAATGTGGACAGAATCTCATTCAAGTGTGATTCCAGATCCGTAAAGACTTCTTTTTCACATATACAACCATTAAAACTTTTGATAAAATGCATTTTGGTATGGTGCTGTACATCAGCTGATCTGTGATCAACCTTTTTTGTTTGGAGATCTCTTATTCAGCTGATCTGTGATCAGCTTTATGGTTTGGAGGTCACTTATTAGCTGATCTATTCATAGTTTTTTTACCTATGACATGATGTTGTGTTTAATGAGAATTGGATTTTACAATTTATTGCCCTTTATTTTATCTTTTTGAATCTTGGCATGTGTTATTACCCTGTCATGAATTTGTGGTTGGGGAGTTCATAATGTATTTCTGAACTATTTAAGGAGTACAGATTTATACCTTAGGGTGTAGACTGGTTGGAGTATCTTGGGAGCTACAATAGTTGACTCAGTAGAGCATCAGAGGTGTTTCAATTTTTACTCATTGCAGGTTGTGTATTTCAGTAAGTTGAGTTCTAGGATCATCCTGTACTGATCTGGTTGTATCATTTGGCAAGACACTCTACACCAGTAGTTCTGGGTAAAATTTGAGGGCCTCCCACCGCAGTGAGCTACCATACTCCTACTACAAGGAGACCCTACCTCAAAATGACCTTTGACCCTAGGTGTTCAAGGGGCAGTAAATCTAGCAACCAAATTTGAGTTTTTTTAGAGGCGAATTTTCATGATGTAATTTTTACCATAACTTTATGGCGTCCAATCTTTTCCTCCCCTGTCTCTCTCAGCCTGGCTGTCAATTTTGGCTTCTTTAAGGTTTTTTGAGAAAGGGAGATCACTGTATGTCTCTGTTGTATGGTTATGGCTTATGTGACCATAGGGAAGGCAGGATGTTTGAATCTTTTGTTGGTACTGTATTTGCATATTAATTTTATGCGAATACAGAACCTGCATGCTAAAGTTACAGTTATTATTACTGAAATGAAACAGAGTATTTGGTGCTAGTTTCACAGTGTGGTCAATAAATGAACATCAGAATGCTTGTTATTGTATGGTATAATATCAACCTTTCATTATCATCATTGTTATTACTGTGTTACAGTGGTGTTACATCATCTACATATAACACCAATATGATTAACTAGCTACATATTCATCATTAAGACATGGCTAAGTTGGAACAGATGTGCAGTCTGACAGTTTTCAAAGTTAAGTCGGTAAAGCTCTGGTTAGATTTTCCTTAAGACAGAATGTGTGGTTTTGAGAAATTATTCCGCTAAACATATGACACATATAAGTCCAATTCTGTGCTTTAAAGTTATAACACTCTCCCTGTGTACTGCAAAATTTTAATTAAGTGTTGGAATTTATATACCTTATCATCATTTAAACAGTAAGTCACTATAATGAATAATATGTTATTATGCTACCAAAGGGAGCATATAGTCATCGCCTTGTATGTCCTGCCGTCCATCCGTCATAATTTGGTCTGCGGTATAATACAAAAACTACAAAGTATCAACATGAGACTTCCAAGGTAGATAAATCTTAACAAGGAAAAGTGCATTGTACAAGAAGCTTCACTTTTTTTTGCATAGTTTAGGAATTACCGGTATAGCCCTTGTTATTTTTCATAGATAAATTTTGTGCAGAGCATCACACTGAACCTATAAAAAGTACTTACCTGAAACTTCCTAGGTAGATAGGTCTCAGTGAGTAGGAGGGCAGTGAACAAGAATCATAACTCTCTTGTTGCCCTTCGTTAATTTTCATACTTAAATTTTGTCAGAACTCGTCTCTGATGGCCCTTGTTACTTAAACAGTTAAACTTCAAATCAGAAGATAAGCATTTTGTTAAAATTTCATTTGAAGTGCCAGTCCTACATAGAGTTATGTCACCTGAAGTGATTTTTCATTTTGAAGAGCACAATTTTTTCTGGCTATTTTCCAAATTTTTGGTGCCAATACAATTACTACTATAAGATGTTATGTTCCCGGGAATGGTTTTGTTTTGACCCTTTTTAAGGGAGTTATGGCTTCCATTCTTTTTCACAGTCACTGGTGTTTCATTCTGTGAGAAGTACCAGTATCAAATGATGCCATAAAAGACATTTTCAGTTTCAACTGATTTTTTTTTTATTCTTTCTAGAAGAATTTGTCAACTCATTTCACTTCTTTAAGCCTATCTGTGGTTTATAAACCAGAGGTTACTCCCCTCTGTGTTTGTAATGGTAGTGTAAATATAATATACATAAAGGTAAACTTTGAATCATTCAGCGTCATGTCACATGATAAAAAGACACTGTGGTTATGTTATGGCGTTAATTGGAAGGTGTTTCATCAATAGTATTGTAAAATCTAGGTATAATGACTTAACCAGCGAGAAATCCTGATTATCAATATAGTGGTGAACAAGTTCTACTCAGATCAACGAGGGAAGAGCACATGATACACTGACACAAAAATCAATGAGGTTGTGAGGATAGAAAAAGAATGGCTACAAGAATGAGGTCGTGAAGAAAAGAAAAAAAATGGCTACAAGAATGAGGTCGTGAAGAAAAGAAAAAAAATGGCTACAAGAATGAGGTCGTGAAGAAAAGAAAAAAAATGGCTACAAGAATGAGGTCGTGAAGAAGAGGGAAAAAATGGCTACAAGAATGAGGTCGTGAAGAAGAGGGAAAAAATGGCTACAAGAATGAGGTCATGAGGAACTGAAAAATAACAGCTACAAGAATGAGGTCATGAAGAATTGAAAAAGAAAGACTGCAAGAATGAGGTTGTAAAGAATAAATGGAGAACTGATGAAAGAACATTCAATGTGTTTCAAAAATATCCAGGTTTTGTGAAAAAGGAAGTGACTAATATGAAAACATGGTACGGAGGATTTGTTATTTTGCCAATATTATATATTAATCTGACTAATAAAATGGACAGTTGCGAACATAAGAATTGGACATGGGCCATATTATTCTTGGTCAAGTAGGGGTCACTCAGCTGGATAATCATGTGACCAGTGGACTCTAGATAATACTCTTAGGTCATTGGCATTACAAGGCATTGCAAGGTCACCGGTCAGTTACTGTAATCGTGAGACAACACAATGAGTCTACTAGGTCTGATAGACTGACCACTACCTATTGACCATACTCTCACCTTACTACAGTACTTTTATAGGTGAAAATGTGCACACCTGTGGTTCAGAGCTTCCAGGTACGCTGGTCTGGACATATATTTGTCATAGAGTAAATTGTGGTCAGACCTCTTGTGTTAGTACAGCAGTAAACACATATAGAAGCAATACACCTGGATTTTACCTGTGTGAAATTGACAGTGGTCAGAACATGAGGCAGACACATTGCTTGTGTATATATATACATTGTTTACCTCTATAGTGAGGTATCGGTCGTTCACATTTACCTGGCCGTATTGTGTTAATGAGGTCTGACCATTTGACCATCGGTCAGTCACTTATGGTGTAGAAGTGACCAGAACATGTTTGCGTGAGAGGAGGCTAGGATGGTGTACCATGCTGTAACTGGGAATTATTGTAACAACAACATGTATCCCCCTAACGATGAGGCGGGCCAGTGGTACAGAGGAAATTACCCAAATACCTGGGAATTAGAAACTCCCTTTGAGTTTAGTAATGGTAAGGCCTGCCATCTTGTAGTACTTATACTGGAATATCAATTATTGTGAAAGGTATGGAATTCACCATTAGTAAGATATGGAATATACCATAAGACAGGTAAGGAATACACCATAAGACAGGTATGGAATACAACAGAATAAGGTAAGGAATACTCCATACAAAGGGTATAGAATACACCAAAAGTTACGTATGGAATACACCAATAGTGAGGTATAGAATACACCAATAGTTAGGCATGGAATACACCAATAGTTAGGTATGGAATACACCAATAGTTAGGTATGGAATACACCAATAGTAAGGTATGGAATACACCAATAGTTAGGTATGGAATACACCAATAGTTAGCTATGGAATACACCAATAGTGAGATATGGATTACACCAAAAGTTAGGTATGGAATACACCAATAGTTAGGTATGGAATACACCAATACTTAGGTATGGAATACACCAATAGTAAGGTATGGAATACACCAATAGTTAGATATGGAATACACCAATAGTGATGTAAGGAATACACCAAATGTTAGGTATGGAATACACCAATACTTCGCTATGGAATACACAAATAGTTAGATATGGAATACACCAATAGTAAGTTATGGAATACACCAATAGTTAGGTATGGAATACACCAATACTTAGCTATGGAATACACCAATAGTAAGGTATGGAATACACCAATAGTAAGGTATGGAATACACCAATAGTTAGGTATGGAATTCACCAATATTTAGCTATGGAATACACCAATACTTCGCTATGGAATACACAAATAGTTAGATATGGAATACACCAATAGTAAGTTATGGAATACACCAATAGTTAGGTATGGAATACACCAATACTTAGCTATGGAATACACCAATAGTAAGGTATGGAATACACCAATAGTAAGGTATGGAATACACCAATAGTAATATGGAATACACCAATAGTAAGGTATGGAATTCACCAATAGTGAGGTATGGAATACACCAATAGTTAGGGCCAATAGTTAGGTATGGAATACACCAATAGTTAGGTATGGAATTCACCAATAGTGAGGTATGGAATACACCAATATTAAGGTATGGAATACACCAATAGTTAGGTATGGAATACACCAATAGTGAGGTATAGAATACACCAATATTTATTTATGGAATACACCAATAATTAGGTATGGAATACACCGTATGGAATACACCAATAGTAAGGTATGGAATACACCAATAGTGAGGTAAGGAATACACCAAAAGTTAGGTATGGAATACACCAATACTTCGCTATGGAATACACAAATAGTTAGATATGGAATACACCAATAGTAAGGTATGGAATACACCAATAGTGAGGTATGGAATACACCAATAGTTAGATATGGAATACACCAATAGTGAGGTATGGAATACACCAATAGTTAGATATGGAATACACCAATAGTGATGTAAGGAATACACCAAATGTTAGGTATGGAATACACCAATACTTCGCTATGGAATACACAAATAGTTAGATATGGAATACACCAATAGTAAGTTATGGAATACACCAATAGTTAGGTATGGAATACACCAATACTTAGCTATGGAATACACCAATAGTAAGGTATGGAATACACCAATAGTAAGGTATGAAATACACCAATAGTTAGGTATGGAATTCACCAATACTTAGCTATGGAATACACCAATAGTAAGGTATGGAATACACCAATACTTCGCTATGGAATACACAAATAGTTAGATATGGAATACACCAATAGTAAGTTATGGAATACACCAATAGTTAGGTATGGAATACACCAATACTTAGCTATGGAATACACCAATAGTAAGGTATGGAATACACCAATAGTAAGGTATGGAATACACCAATAGTAAGGTATGGAATACACCAATAGTAAGGTATGGAATTCACCAATAGTGAGGTATGGAATACACCAATAGTTAGGGCCAATAGTTAGGTATGGAATACACCAATAGTTAGGTATGGAATTCACCAATAGTTAGCTATGGAATACACCAATATTAAGGTATGGAATACACCAATAGTTAGGTATGGAATACACCAATAGTGAGGTATAGAATACACCAATATTTATTTATGGAATACACCAATAATTAGGTATGGAATACACCGTATGGAATACACCAATAGTAAGGTTTGGAATACACCAATAGTAAGGTATGGAATACACCAATAGTGAGGTAAGGAATACACCAAAAGTTAGGTATGGAATACACCAATACTTCGCTATGGAATACACAAATAGTTAGATATGGAATACACCAATAGTAAGGTATGGAATACACCAATAGTGAGGTATGGAATACACCAATAGTGAGGTATGGAATACACCAATAGTGAGGTATGGAATACACCAATAGTTAGGTATGGAATACACCAATAGTTAGGTATGGAATACACCAATAGTAAGGTATGGAATACACCAATAGTGAGGTATAGAATACACCAATAGTAAGGTATGGAATACACCAATAGTTAGGTATGGAATACACCAATAGTTAGATATGGAATACACCAATAGTGAGGTATTGAATACACCAATAGTTAGATATGGAATACACCAATAGTGAGGTATGGAATACACCAATAATTAGGTATGGAATACACCAATAGTAAGGTATGGAATACACCAATAAGTAGGTATGGAATACACCAATAGTAAGGTATGGAATACACCAATAGTGAGGTATGGAATACACCAATAATTAGGTATGGAATACACCAATAGTAAGGTATGGAATACACCAATAGTTAGATACAGGATACAACATAGGAAATGTATGGAGTAAAGTATTAGTAGTTCAAACAGCCATCCTGTTGGATCAATTTTTGATGATCAAATAAGATGAACAGCTTAGGTGATGTCATACAACAAATTTGATTAAAATCAATTAGTCAATGATTGATTGATGCAATGGAAACAGAACAAGATTTATTAACAGCCTCTACTATTGCTAAAGAGTTCGCCTATACTGAGTACAAATTCTGCAGGCAATTTTTTATTGTTTAAAATTCATATTCAAAACACAAAAAATCAATGTCTTTTTTCATATGGTTTTTAATCTAGGATTTCGGCATAAATTGCATACTCACTATAATTTTGTAAACTAAACTTTAAATTTTACTAGGAGTCTAAAGTGAGGGTTAAAAGGGTGTGTGGCAGGGGAGTCTAAAGTGAGGATTAAAAGGGGGTGTGGCAGGGGAGTCTAAAGTGAGGATTAAAAGGGGGTGTGGCAGGTGAGTCTAAAGTGAGGATTAAAAGGGGGTGTGGCAGGGGAGTCTAAAGTGAGGATTAAAAGGGGGTGTGGCAGGGGAGTCTAAAGTGAGGATTAAAAGGGTGTGTGGCAGGGGAGTCTAAAGTGAGGATTAAAAGGGGGTGTGGCAGGGGAGTCTAAAGTGAGGATTAAAAGGGTGTGTGGCAGGGGAGTCTAAAGTGAGGATTAAAAGGGGGTGTGGCAGGGGAGTCTAAAGTGAGGGTTAAAAGGGTGTGTGGCAGGGGAGTCTAAAGTGAGGATTAAAAGGGAGATTACAATGGTCAAATATTGTTATTGGAATTTTAAAATAGAATTTCAAATAAATAAATAAATTCTGATTGATTTCTCACAAACTAGTCATTTTTATCAATCTCAAATTCTGAAGAAGTCATTTTTTAGGAAACTATAGATTGGATCCTCAAATATTTTGTGTGGAAAAGTAGGTCATATAGTGGCTTAATATGACTACAGGAGATGCTGGAATATGTAAAATGTTTAATCAGTAAGTAAGAATTGTGTAGATGAAAATTAAGCTCAAATACATCTTGGGAAGAATCTGATATCTGAATGAATATTTTATTCAAATGATTTGAAGAAATTTCGGAAAGATTTCATTGAGATTATATTTTCATAGTAACTTGTCTGATGAGAATAATTTTGTACCACCCCACACTTGTCTGATGAGAATAATTTCATGAATACCACCCCAGAACTTGTCTGATGAGAATAATTTCATGAATACCACCCCACAACTTGTCTGATGAGAATAATTTCATGAATACCACCCCACAACTTGTCTGATGAGAATAATTTCATGAATACCACCCCACAACTTGTCTGATGAGAATAATTTCATGAATACCACCCCACAACTTGTCTGATGAGAATAATTTCCCACAACTTGTCTGATGAGAATAATTTCATGAATACCACCCCAGAACTTGTCTGATGAGAATAATTTCATGAATACCACCTCAGAACTTGTCTGATGAGAACAATTTCATAGATACCACTTCACAACTTGTCTGATGAGAACAATTTCATAGATACCACTCCACAACTTGTCTGATGAGAATAATTTCATGAATACCACCCCACAACTTGTCTGATGAGAATAATTTCATGAATACCACCCCACAACTTGTCTGATGAGAATAATTTCATGAATACCACCCCACAACTTGTCTGATGAGAATAATTTCATGAATACCACCCCACAACTTGTCTGATGAGAATAATTTCATGAATACCACCCCACAACTTGTCTGATGAGAATAATTTCATGAATACCACCCCACAACTTGTCTGATGAGAATAATTTCATGAATACCACCCCACAACTTGTCTGATGAGAATAATTTCATGAATACCACCCCACAACTTGTCTGATGAGAATAATTTCATGAATACCACCCCACAACTTGTCTGATGAGAATAATTTCATGAATACCACCCCACAACTTGTCTGATGAGAATAATTTCATGAATACCACCCCACAACTTGTCTGATGAGAATAATTTCATGAATACCACCCCCAACTTGTCATGAACTTGTCTGATGAGAATAATTTCATGAATACCACCCCACAACTTGTCTGATGAGAATAATTTCATGAATACCACCCCACAACTTGTCTGATGAGAATAATTTCATGAATACCACCCCACAACTTGTCTGATGAGAATAATTTCAGAATAACTTGTCTGATGAGAATAATTTCATGAATAC